GACCCCCAGCCATGAAGTTATTTTCATTGTTACTTCATAACTGTAATTTTGCTACTGTTGTGAATTGTAATGTAAATATCTGTGTTTTCTTGTGGTCTTAGGTTGTCCACTCAACCTCCAAATGGGTCAAAACCCACAAGCTGATAACCGCTGCTCTAAAGTCATAAACACCAATAAATTAACTATCTTTTTAAAAGAGCAAATCTGTTCCTAGTACTATGATTTATAATTCCAGAACCCTAAAAGGTGAGGCAGGAAGATAGTGAGTTTGTGTTACATAGCAAGTGACAGGCTAGCCTGGGCTGTATGATCGTATCTGTAAGGATTCAGGCCTGACCCTGTTACCTGGCAGAATGCACTTAGGCAGTACCCCGGTCAGCCCAGGTGCAAAGGACCCTTTAAAAGAAAGACCTCTGCCCACTTACCCTCTCTTTCCCTCTCTTTCCTGCTGTTCTCCTGAGGCAGACAGGGCTTTTCCTGTCTCCCTCTTCTCTTCGTCTGCTCTCTGTGTCTCTACCTCTTTTCTCTCCACCCCTCCCCTTTCTAATAAAACCTCTCACTTAAGCTCTGTCTGCCTGACATGTTTGTAACCTGCCTGGGTCACCCTCACCTGCTGTGGAATCTGCCAAGGTCCCACACACACACATGAATTATCATAACAATACCTTTATCTCAAAAAAAGAAGAGCTGGGCATGATGGTTCCACCTTTAATCCCAGCACTTGGGAGCCCAAGGCAGGTGGATCTCTAACAGTCTGAAGTCAGCCTGTTCTACATAGTGAATTCCAGGTCAGCTAGAACTACATAGCAGAGAGGGGAGGGAGGGAGGGAGGGAGATGAGAAGGGAGCCGTCCAGGCTATGGGTGTGGTTTTATATTAAGGTACCTGTCTAGCATTCATGAGGCTGTAGATTTTATCCCCAGCATTGTAGAAAGAGAAAGGAACTGTTATCTGGATATGTGTGCACATATCTGTAATCACTGCATTCAGGAGGCAGAAGCAGAAAGATCATTACATGTTTGAGGCCTGCTTGGTCTACATAGGAAGTTCAAGTTCCAGGCCAGACAGAGCTCCAAGTTGAGTCTCTGTCTCAAAAACAATAAAAGCGCTGTGAAAGGTCCCTTAATCACTCTTAATCACAGGAAAAGGCATTCAACCTCACTCACAACAAGAGAAATACTAAACAAAACTCAAAGATACTAGAGACCAGATCCGAATGTTTGATAGCAGGTCACGTGACTAAGAGAAAATAGACGTTCTTGCACACTGCCAGTGGGAGTCTAAACTGGGATAATCTCTGTAAGAGCAACTTGGCAGAGCTAGGAGAGAAGAAGTCTGACTGGGGTGTGGCTCACCAGCACAGTGCCAACCTCAGCGGTGCATTAGCAGGGTACAGCTACACCAGCCTGGAGTCCCAGCTCTCAGAAGGTGGACAGCCATCCCCAGCTACACAGCAAGTGTGAGGCCAACTTGGAATACATGAGACCCTGCTCCAGTAAGTGAATAGTCAAAACCCTTGCGTCAGCAACCCTACTTCTAGAAGTGCCTTTTACATTCCACTTGCACATTGTGAAATGACAAAAATGGCATATCAATTGCAGCATTACCTGACAGCAAAACAACAGGGACCTGATTAAATAATGAGCACAGGTATACTAAGTGAAACAAGCAAAATGCAAAGCAATGTTCAATCTGCCACCACATGCATAAAACTGAAATGGGTGCTTTTATATGCTTGTGTATGCATCCCTAGCCGATGAACTTCCTCTGTGCGACAAGATGGGCACGGTGGCTCACGCCTGTAACCCTAGCACTTAGCAGGCTGAGGCAATAGGTTGGGCAAAAGCCATAGGCCAACCTGTGCTATATAGTAAAAACCTTCAGCATATAGACACTCACATGGGGAACGGGGGTACTGAAAAAGAAGGGAAAGAGAAGGGAAGGAGGGGGGATGGAAAAAAAGGAAATGAATGGAAAGGAATGAAATGGACCTGAAAACAGAAGCCGCAGCTGAGAGAGAAACTGAACAGCTACAGCACAGAAGTGAGGTCAACCATTGCCCGCTGCCTCTAATGCCTGAGCTCTATCTTAGTCAAGGAATGTTAGAAGCCAAGCATGGTAATGCTAGCATTTAATCCCAGCACTCAAGAGGTAGAGGAGATCATGGTGTAATTCAATCTTGTTTGTAATTCAAATATATAATAAATAAATAAATAAATAAATAAATAAATAAATAAATAAAAGAGGTAGAGGAAAGCAGGTCTCTGTGAGTTCAAGGCCAGTCTGGTTTACATAGCAAGTTCCAGGACATCCAGAAAAAAATAGAGAGGGCCCATCTTTTTTTGTTGTTTTTATTTGTTTGTTTGTTTGTTTGTTTGTTTAAATCTTTACTCTTTTTTTCTTTATTTTTTTGAGAGACCCCATCTTAAAAAGAAAACAAAATAACAACAAAAAAGTTAATTAACACCACGGCCAAAATGTGTAGCTTAGCCTTACACAAAACATATAAATCCAGATGCTGGAGGGTGAGGTGGGGACCCAAGGGTCAGTGCAATTCTTACAAGTACTGTGTGCAATTCTGCTGCATGCAACATCACTGGCAATGAATAATTATCAAAGTAATAATAGCAACAGTAATGTAAACTGCAACAGACACTCACCAAAGAAGATAGAGCCCAAAACACCACTGCCAAGATCTTATAGAAGCATTCCAGGTGGGGGGTGGGGATGGCACAACAAAACTCTCAGAGACTTTGCACCAGTCTTTATATTCTTGGGAGGTGGAGGCTGGAGGATCAAGAATTCAAGGTCTTCTTTGTCAAGTTAGAGGTTAATGTGGGCTATGTAAGAGTCTCTCTCCAAAAGCCCCAACCACACTAAATGAAAACAAATCCCAAACAACCAATCCTCCAAAGTGCCTGGATTGCAGCCCTGCCCCAGCATGGAGATGGAGAAGGAAAGATAAAGGGTTCAAATCAAATGGTGGTACACTGGAGCCAGGCTGTAGACTTTGTGTGAGCCACTTCTCTTGCCTGTTCCTCAGTAGGCACTTTTGTAAAGCAGGGATCATACACCTAGTGTGTTTAATCTGAGACAAGCTGTTTTATGTGCAGAACTTGGTATAGGAATCAGCACACAGGCTGGGGAGACAGTTAGTTTGATAAAATGCTGGCTATGTAAGCAGGAAGATCTGAGTTCGGATCCCATAAATGTCCAGCATCAGGCAGAGGCAGAAAGATCCCAGAGGTTTGCTGACTGGTAAAGTATAGGTTCGATGAGAGACGCTACTGCAAAGCTAAGGTTGTTTTATAAGGTCATTCCCAAACAATAAAAGAAATTGCCTAAAGTTGCTCTCCAGCCTCCACTTCTGTGCACAGCAGCCAATGTACCTTCCCCACATGCATGCAGCCCCCACCCCCACACACACACACAAATAATCAGTCCAGGAGTGCCACATGAATTTACTATTTCCTCAGGCTGCTCTTGGAATGTTAAAGGAAAATAATTCACAAAAATATAGCTAAATATGCTGGGGATATACATCAGCAAGTAGAGTGCACAAAGCCTGGATTTGACTTGCAGTACACAAACCTGTTAATCCCAGCATTCAGGAGGTACAGGCAGAAGCATCAGTTCAAGGCCTGCCTCTGCTCCTAGCTATGAGACTGTCTCAAAAATAATTACATTTCTATAGCTATATGAAAAGTGCTTAGAAGTGTGTAGAAACTGGAACACAGCAAGTGTTATCTGAGTAGAATGGTATTTCCCCAGTCTATTAAAGAAACAAACACAAAAATACTGAGCAAGCCCATAGACGAAGGTGGGGAGACGGAGAGGAAACTCTGTAATAGCTAAGAAACAGAAGGGAAACAATGAAAAATTAGCTGTTTCTAAGAAATTTTTAAAAAATGCACTAAAGACACTGAAGTGATGAGCCAAGTAAAGCAGAGCTGTTTTTTTGTTTTTGTTTTTTTCCCTAGTCCCGTAGACCCAGTGGCAGCCAGACTTTTTCATTTCCCAGTCTGGGTCCATATGGATGTGGAAATTTTCTGTGAAGGACTGCAGACCAAACAGGTTCACAGTGAGGGGCAGTGGCAAGTCTCACCAATCAACCCATGCTCTTGCACCTGATAGGACACATTCTCCCTGGACCTCAAAGACCAGTGCTTGAGGTGGAGAACAGAAGGACAGTTCACTAATGGTCCAATTCTACTAGCTTCCTTGGTTTGGAGGGCCCTGCAGACTCCAAACTGGGCTGCAGGCTATTGCCTCAAATACAGGGGGACTGTGGGGCACAAAGCAGATGCAGGCAACTCATTCTAAAGCTGCAAGGTGTTCAGATCTTAAGAGAGATGGCCATTAATAACAGAAGTGGAAGTATTTCTGCTTAGCAAACAGTTTATCTTTAACTGCTATAGTGTAGCCACTTTTGAAATATTCTTTAAAAGAAAGTCAGATAAAAATCTCTTTAACTAAATTAATGACACCAGCCCTGGGACAGCCATGGGAAAGAGCAGGACAGCTCTCTCCTGCATGTGTAGAAGCACTGCAGGACCTCAGTGAGCACGGATGCTGTCTGAGATGAGCTCACCTGTGACTCGGTCCTCAGTCAGGACCATCAGACAGGATCCATTTATCCTGAGTCCCTGTGAACTGTCTTTGTGACTTGAGAGTCTATGATTTTTCGGAAGGGAGGAACAGAAAAGAAAGTGTACTGATCTTGGGCTCCAAAGTGTATTCATTCACAAAGAACTCCTGGGCTGGCTATGATGTTGTTGTTAAGCAGTGGTCCCAAATAGAATGCTCATAATCTCAGACAATGCCATTGTTGCCACCATAAATGGGAAATAATGCTAACTTCAAATAAACCAAGGTGCACAACAGCTCCCAAAGGACAATTCTCTGAAAGAAGGTCTCAAGACAGTTTGCAAACACCATGTGCACGTTTATGTGACAATTTATAGACACACAGCAACAAAAATAAGATGAAAAGGAAGGAACTCACTGTACAGAACACAAAACAATACCCTTTTTATTTTTTAAAACTCTGGTGAAATAGGTTTCCATACGACATCCCATTAAAAAAAAAGATAATGTAAACCACCCTGTGGGTTAGTCACACGGTACAGACTTCAAGAGTGTTTACAGATGCTTAGAGTATTTACAAATGCTATTCTTTAGGTAGTAAAGGTTTGTTGCAATTTCCAGCACTTTTTCCTCAGTAAAAGACAGGGGGCTGTGTTGGTGTTCTTGTATAAAAATTCATAAATGGAGAAAAGGCAATTTTCCTGAGAGAAGATTTGTTCTTGAAATCTTTTTTTGTTGTTGGTTTTTTTTTTTTTTTAAACAATTGGGAATACAGAAATGGGCTGTGGGTGTAAGAAGCATATGTCTAAGTTAACATTTTTTTAAATTATTTTAAGTACCATTAAGTTAAAATGTTTACATTCATTATAAAAATGCTGTTAAATCTTATGCAAATGATTTAACACTGATTGCTGCAACGCAAATTGCACTTAAAAAAATTATTGTGTACATGGAAGAAAAATATCTTGTTTGCTACCCTGTTTACAAATTCCAAGTGACCTCAGATCAGCCACTATAATGAACGCTGAGTAAAGTCAGTCAGCATCTGTCCATTATAATTCCGTCTTGCAAACTAATATTCTTGTCGAGATCCCAGGACTGCACTCAGCCTCCGGGATGTACCAAATGGTTTTAATGCTCCTCTCCACCAATGCTTGTGAAATGTGCACATCAATCAGGTATGAAGAAATTCTGGGATAACCAAGGTTGATCACAAGAAGCACATGATTTGGGGCAATTCGAATAAAACATTTTTTTTTTTTTTTGCAATCTCTCAATCTTCCTTAGCAGACAAGGCCTCAGTCATTGTCACACTTTCTGCCACTGGTGTGGGGCAGACCCAGAGGCAGGCTGGCTGGAGGTGCCCAGGCTGGCGGGAGCAGGCCATGTGCCTGCTGTGTTGGCCCTTCCTGCAGGGACTGTCTCTTTTCGCTTCAGCAAGCTTCTTGGGAAATACATCTCTTGCAAAACAAAAGGCACAGAAATCATGCATTGAAGGAATGTTATGTCTGCATTTCTGCTGCCATCTGGATTGATGGACAAATTCAGACAGGTGGCATGAGACCCTCAGAGCCCTCCTGGCCTCTTGTCATCTTGACAGCACCAGCTCAGGCCAGGGCCAGAGCACACCAAGAATCCTGCCGTACAGAGGATGTGACTTCGGCAGGAGAAGACAGACTGACACCTATGTAGAGGCCATCTTGACCTGAATACTTGAGGTCACTGTTCTCAGAGTTGGTGCCCTCTCCCACTGCAGACATCACTGAGGCACCAGCCTGGTAGAAGAGGAAAACAGAAGGAGAGATAGTTAAACATTGCTTTGTTAGCTGGCCCAATCCTCCTGCCTCAGCATCTGGAAACAAAAGACATGATTGGCACAACTAAGGCCAGAGTTGCTCCAGAGATCAACTCAGGAGAAATAAAGCCAGCTTTGTTCCTTCCTTGCCCAAAGCAAGGTCATGCCAGCCAGTGCCATTTGCCTGCTCCTGGCAACATGGAAGAACGACACTGTTACCTACAGTGACCACCTGGCAAGATGCAGAGGTGACAGAGGAAGGGGGCCTGAAGGACTCCAATTTGTCAAAGTGATGAGCTGGCAGTGAACCATACTGGAGAGATAAGACACCATGTGGATCTAGAGCAAATGCTACCAGAGCATGACATGCACACTATAAAACATGGTAGGATCAACCCAGACAACTGGAACATTTAACCGGCATTCGCTTAGACTAGAGTTTAAGGGACCAGCTTGAAAGTTTCTCAAAACTTCAGCCACAACCATGTACTCTCTAGTCACACTTTTTTTTCTTCCTAAATTCCAGACACCCTAAGTTCTTCCAAGGTTTAAGGCTCTGTTCCATACTGGATACTTGTTCAAAACAGGCTATGATCCCTTAAACCCTTTTAAATAACATCGCTGGAAATACTACCCCTTAAATTCCTCAAACAGCCACCCTGATGTTCTGGCCATTTCTCAGAAACTCAGATTGCCAGATTGAATGAGGGTGTTCTGGGGCTCTGTGTGGCCTGGACACAATGCAGTCCAGTGGATTCCTTTTCTCAAGGTGGATCTGCATTGTTCTCCAGCCCTCACAAACCTGCATGGACCTAGAAGGCAGTGCTCTCGGAGAGAGCTTAACTGGTCCAGGCATGTGACCTGCCTCCTCCTCACCCAAGCTTTCCCACAGGACAAACCAAACATAACCATCCACAGGCCCAGTTACTCAGGAATCTGAGGCAGGAGGACTGAGAATTCAAGACCTGGAGCTAAGTATGGCAGTGAATAACTGTAACCCCAGCACCCAAGAGTCCAAGGCAAGCCAGGGTAGCACAGAATGTCGTAGGCCAGCCCAGACTATAAAATAAGACCTTGAAGCCCATAGTGGCTCTCTTCTATTAAGATATCTCTGTCATTGCTCCTCCACTGCATCCCTCCCTGCCTCCTCCATCTAGCTGCTTGGAGCCCACTCCTATGGTGGGATGCCATGCTCAGTCT